GGATTTAAAGCTGGTTTAGCCGATCCATGTCTGTTTAAGAGGGAGACAAATGGGAAAGTATCATTATTATTACTATTCACAGATGACATTGCATTGATAACTGAAACTAATGATGAAGCAAATAAAATTATAGCATCATTAGGAAAGAGAATAAGGATCAAGCAATTAGGGGAGATAAAGAAGTATCTCGGTTTGAATATAAAGAAAACACGGAAAGGTTTTAAGATATCTCAGGAAGATAAGATAAGCAAATTGCTAAAAGATTACAAGATGGAGCTTTGTAAGCCAGCTAAGACTCCAATGAGTCAGGAGTTTAGCAACACTGATGGACAAAGTCCTGAATTTGATAAGGTGATTTATCAATCTTTAATTGGTAGTTTGAGTTATATTAGTAATTGGTCTAGACCAGATATATCGTACTGCGTGAATCAGTTGGCTAGATTCAATTCTGCACCATGTGAAAGACACTGGATTGCAGCTAAGAGGATATTAAGATATCTTAAAAAGACAATGAATTATTCATTGTATTTAGAACCAAAGGGTGATTTAATTTTGAGTGCTTATGCAGATGCTAGCTTTGCATCAGAAAGAGACACTAGAAAGTCGACTTCAGGAACAGCCATAATGCTGGGTAATACATTAATAGGCTGGAAGTCAATAAGACAACAGCATATAAGTTTGTCTACTATGGAGGCAGAATTCTCCTGTTTATCATTGTTAAGTACAGAGTTAATAATGTATAAACAAATGTTAATTGATATAGGTATAACTGTAGATTATCCTATAATTATACATGAAGATAATCAGGCAGCAATTCAAATGGCCACAAATATTGGAGTAAAAACAAGGAGCAAGCATACAGATCTAAGATACCTAAATGTGAGACAATCTGTAAGAAGTAAGATGATTCAGCTAGAGTACTGTATGTCGGAGGACAATTTAGCTGATAATTTTACTAAAGCCCAAGGTGCCAGTAAGCACCAGGAGAGTTGTGAAAAATATGGGATAAGATTGTAAAGGTATTATATATTTATTTCACCCAAAAGGGGAGTATGTTAGGTATAACATTGATACCAAATATGGTTTGGGTGAATAAATATATAAAACTTAGATATCATGGTTTAAGTGCTTATCACTTTAAGCACAATGCAGCAGGCAATTAGCCGATTAAGGGTGCGGTTAGAAGTTACAATATAAGGAAGCATTAGAAGCTGGAAAGCTTACTGCTTGCTGGCTGTCTGTGAGTTTACTGTCTGAGCTGGCTGTAACTGTGTGCTGCTGCGACTAACTGAGATTACTGACTGTGAGTGCCTGTGACTGAACTGTTATTGTTTGCTACTGTTTACTGAATATCCAGCGTTTGTTTCTCTGGAGAGTGAAACCGGAGGAGGAGAAGATATCTTTATCGGCTGATAAAGATATTGCAAGGACTCTTAACTTGGACTATACTAGTGAGTCTTACTGGATGGAAATACTGTGAATGACTTAATGGACTGAATGACAAAGCTTAAACTCTAACTGGATTAAAAACTATTTAAACTACAAACAGTGTTTGTGTTCAGTGTGTGTATACTCTGGGGCCCTTCCGCTCTCCTTGGCTGCCTGGCTTGACTACTGCTGAAATACTCTGCTAGGGGTTAATTCCTCAAACCCTAACAAGCTCTGCTATTTGAGTTACAATTTTTGAAAGGTAAAGAGTCGGAGTTGTACTTTCGCTTTCAAACTGCTGCACTGCTCTTCCAGATTTCCTTCCTCTCTCTCTACCCCCACCCCTTTTTTATGGGAACTATGTCAACTCAAAAACATGCAGAAAATCCAACCAAGCCAGGGGAGGGGTTCGTGAGCATAAGCTTCCAGACCTGCAATCGATTTGTTTTTGTGTGTGTTGTATAGGTCACTTTCAAGAAGTGAGGGGAGCCGAATGTCAACTCATAAAACATTTTGTATACATACTTTATATAGTTGTCAACAGAAAAAAGGGGGGAGTTTCAAAGAGCAGGCGGCAGTGTGGAATCGAAAGTACGTTCCACTCATGTTTTCTTCAAAGACTGATTAGATGACTGAAGCTTCTGCCGTGAAAAAATCTAGCTGGAGAGCATGATTGATGACTCTTGCCTATGGACATTTTTGCATTGGATGATACACGCGGGGGGGGGGGGGGGGGGGAAAAAGCAGGATCAAGGGTGACAGTGAATTAGGTATCTCAGAGTCGGCTACGCCCAGATTAGTGTCGGATGTAGAATGTTAACTTCTAATGCTTTTTAGTTTTGAGAGAGGCTCATGATTTAATTGGAGTAACTGCCAGAATCCTGACACATGTAGGAATCTTTGATGAGTTGACATCGGGAGGGAGGGAGGGTGGGGGCCGAACCGGGCCCAGGGTGAGCCCTCCTCTGCCCTCCCCTCCCCAGGGAAGCACTATGGCGTCTACAGCTGCGAGGGCTGCAAGGGCTTCTTCAAGCGCACCATCCGGAAGGACCTGACCTACACCTGTCGCGACAACAAGGACTGCATCGTGGACAAGCGGCAGCGCAACCGGTGCCAGTACTGCCGCTACCAGAAGTGCCTGGCCACCGGCATGAAGCGGGAAGGTAGCGCAGGGGGGGAGGGCGGCAGGCAGGGAGCCTCCCAGGGCCGGGCACTGGGGGGGGGAGAGCAGCACCCCTCCCCCTGCTTTGTTCTGGGAGAGGGAGGGGGCTGCCTCCTGGCCCCCACCAACATCCCCCCCCCCGCTTTGCCTCCCCGATGCAGCCGTGCAGGAGGAGCGCCAGCGGGGCAAGGAGAAGGACGGGGAGGGGGAGCTGGCCGGCACCGGGGCCAACGAGGACATGCCGGTGGAGAAGATCCTGGAGGCCGAGCTGGCCGTGGAGCAGAAGTCGGACCAAGGCATCGACGGAGCCGGCACGGGGGGCAGCTCGGTGAGTTGGGGAAGGGGAGCAGCAACGGGACCAGAGCGGTCCCTCCACCACCCCACCGACACAGATGAGGTAAGGGGGGCCGGGTGGGGTGGAGGAGGGGGGGG